GAACCTTCAAATGAATGTAAATATTTAATTAACGTTTTTAACTAATCTGTAATTTATATTTGCATAATATGCAAGATTTTAATTAGATTTATATTGTGAATAACCTTGATAAATAATTTGATAATTATTGCAATTAACAGACATCGATGACGATGATTATGACGATGACATAGTAGTGACCACAACCACCACAACAACAACAACTACAACAACGGCCGCCACTGCGGGGCCGACGGACACACCGGTGGCACAGGAGATACACACGAAGGCTATGTACACGTGCTCTAAGGGCTCATACTTTGACTATTTCGAGAGGATATCGACCACCGATAGTAACCAACGGATCTATTGCAACGGATTATTCTTCGAGAAACACAACTATACGCTGTTTGGCTTTAGAAACAACGCGAAGATTGTTTTAAAAGTGGTCAACGCTTACGGCTTTCTTAAGGATGTTAATGGTTAGTGATTTAAATGATCTAGATGTTTGTATTGTTGAGTTGTATAGATTGATTAAATCTAGATTAAACTGTTTTATCATTGCTGTACACTATGTAAAGGCAGTGAAAGCTATACAGATATCGGGGTAATATCGGGCGGCAAATGCGCCGGCGCTATGATCTTGAAACAAGAGGCCAATCGGGCGCTAAGCGGCTCCTGTGACTCACCCGACGGCGTGACACGTGTGCTGTCCCGTCGGTCGGACGCCCTCTACGCGGTCAGGGGTGAGAGGTGTGGCTCAACCTGTTTGGGACACAATAGTGTTGAGTATTGGCCGGGAAAGTCATTTCGGTCTCATAACTAGGCATATACTGTGCTATTTTAGTTATAACATTTAAGATGGTAGTTTTCTAACTATTGATTTCGCTTATGTTTGCCGTTTGTTTTATATATTTATTCATTACTGTTTGTCATGAAATGTTTGATATATTTTTATATACCATTAAATTATTATTATCTCTAGAATCATGGCTAATTTATTGTTATTTTTGTTGTTTTTTATCACTCAA